CAAGCTGGAATGTAGTGGTGAGGTCACTGCTCACTGCAGCCTTGACCTCCCAGGCTCAAGCAATCCTCCCACCTCAGCCTCCCAAGTAGCTGAGACTACAGGCATGCCACCACATCTGGCCAATTTTCAAAATTTTTTCTAGAGATAGTGTCTTGCCATGTTACCTAGGCTGGTCTAGAACTTCCAGACTGGAGCAACCTGCCAGCCTTAACCTCCCAAAGTGCTGGGATTACAAGTGTGAGGCACCACACCCAGCCTTAACTTTTTATTAAAGTAAAATTTACTTTAAAAGTGCATAATTTCTAAGCACACAGCTTTGTGAATTTTCACATATTAAGCCCACCCTTGTAACTAGCATATATGGGTATATTTTTTATTAAAATACTTCAAAATGGAAATTTCTGGAAAAAGTAAAAGGCTGCAGGGTATTTTCTGTGTAAGGATATCATGTATATGTCAAATGATGTGTTTATGAATCTTTTGCACATAAAAGACTTATGAAATTCCTGTAGGAAAAAAATCTAGGCCACTAGATTATTATTTCTTATGGAAGGAGCTGCTCTTTAAATACAGATTAAGGGAATTAGAAAGGTAAGTTTTTTTGGTTATGAGTATCATATTTTGAGCATTGGATAGTTATTGGCATAAATGATCAGTTAAATTTGCATTTAAGTATGCAAAACATTTCTGTTCTATGGAAACCTGGGACTTGTTTTCTCCCTCTGGTTGCAGTGGGTTGCAGGGGGAGGAGCTGCATGGGGTGTGTGTGTGTGGGTGTCATCGGCTCACTGCACTCACTGCTCTTAATTATAGCACTCAGGATGGTGCCGGTGGGTCCTGTGAGAGTGAGGTTCTCGTTCAGTATCTCCCAGGAGAGGCCCTTGGTCCCCGGACCCCTTAGAATAGCAGAGCACTTTATCACGTGGTGTCCCCTCTAGGAAGACTCACGTGAGAACTTTCTTCGGATTCGACTACTAGGAAAGGGTTCTGTTTTCCTTGAAAAACTGGCATGTGATTTTTCTCTGTGGATGACCTGTATCCTGCCTGTCCACCCTCCCTCTGATCTGCTGAGCGGTGCCCAGTCTGTGGCTCAGCATCGATACATTTTCCTGGTCCTGAATTTTGTGTGAGCTCTAATTTTCCTAATCCTGATTAATCCAGTTCTCCTCCCCCCACCCCTCAAGTTTATTATGTTTAAGTGATTTAAATCTTTAGTGGAATGAGGGTAGGGAAGAAACTTGACCACACTGACAAACTGATTTTATTAGACCCAATAAGGAAAGGCCTAAAGAAGGCAGTCAGTGATCGGGGTGTGCCCTCAGATGCAGGCTGCCTGAGGACAGTGGCCATGCCAGCTGCTCAGTGAATCAGGAGCAATCTGCTTAATAAGAAAGGAGAGACCAGGCTCAGTGGCTCACGCCTGTAATCCCAGCACTTAGGGCAGATTACCTAGGGTCAGGAGTTTAAGACCAGCCTGGCCAACATGGTGAAACCCCATCTCTACCAAAAATACAAAAATTAGCTGATTATGGTGGCAGGCGCCTGTAATCCTTGTTAACTCGGGAGGCTGTGGCAGGAAAGTCGCTTGAACCTTCGAGGGGCGGAGATTGCAATGAGCTGAGGTTACACCACTGCACACCAGCCTGGGTGACAAGAGCGAAACTCTGTCTCAAAAAAAAAGTAAAAAGAAAAGGGAGTGAATTCTTTACATTCTCAAGCCAAAAAGTGCAGAAAAACTAAGCCTTCTCCACTCACTATACAAATACTGTCATACCCAGGCCCTTTACCAACCTAGATAGCACTGCAAAGGGGTGAGACCCTCTGTGGGTCTCACGTGAATGAGGACTGGCATTGGCAGAGGCCCTGCATGTGACACTGTCCTAAGTGTTTGCCATGTGTCATCTCCTCAGAAAAGTACGGCAGTGGGAAGTGGGTTCTAGTTGGCCCAGTGTTTCAGAGGAAGCTGGCGGGGGGCACGGAGACGTGTCGGGAGGGTGACTCAAGCTCTCCCCTGCCCACCAGAGCCCTTCCTGACCTGCGTGCAGGGCCCTTGCCAGATGTGCTGTTCACACATCCGGAACGGGTGACAGGTCTGAGGAAGGAGTTCAGCACTCCCCTAGAGTGGCCATTTCGGGCTCCACCTTTGATGTCCAGTGTATGTGTTGCTGGCTTATCGCTGGTTAGCTGCTGCTGCCTTTTTAAGTTTCATGGATATTTCAGCCTAAAAGGAAGCGGCTGAGGCAACATTAATGTAAGTAGAGAGTTTATTTGGGCCAAGCGTAAGGACTGCAGCCAAGGAGCGTAGATTCAGGTGAGTTACCCTGGACACACAGTCTGATGAGCAGCAGTGACAGGTGGATTTTTACTCCAGCCTGGGTGACACAGCAAGATCTCATCTCAAAAAAGCAAACAAATAAATATAAATAAAGGGGGCAGGGAGTAGGCTGGTACCAGTTGGTTGTGAGGAATCCTCACTGGTCCACACAAAGAACATTGATAAGAGATTGGTTGTACACTGTCGAGCTGTAGGGTGTGGCTTCTACTGTCCAGCGTGGCATTATTAGGTTAATTTATAGCTACTTGTGGCAACAGCAGGCAGTTTGAGGAGGTGAATACATGCCACAAGATGATTATTCTCTCAGTTAAATGTCTCTCTGGGACTAATAATTCAAAAGAACTCGGATTCCTCAGATAGGAATTCTTTTCTCATTTCCATCCTCATAGGGGTTGCTTCTCTTTGATGTCCTCTCTTTGCCCTCATGTCTGTGGGGCATGGGGTTTATCAGGATTCCTCTCCCCTCCTCTGCTCCCTGGGCATCCACACTCAGCCACCCCTCAACATCCCTGGCAGCTGGCCAGCCTGACTCCTGCCTCCACTCTGCTGCAGCTGCTGGGGTCTCCCAGACCCTGGTCTCACTCTCCGCACATGCCCCCCTCTGCGGAGGAGCTCTCTGCAGTGTCTCAGCCGCCCAGACAGCCTTTCCTGCTTGCTTGCTTTGGGGCTCTCTGACATACCATTTTATTGGCTGTAAGTATCCCCTCCTGTCTGGATTCTAGTATCTGCTGATTCTACTCAGATTTCTTTTTACACAGGCTCTTCCTGGTACTTCCATCTGGATATGAGCTGTTCCTATTCAAATTTTTTTTTTTTTTTTTTTTTTTTTGAGACAAGGTCTGTTGCTCAGGCTGGAGTGCAGTGGCAGATCTCGGCTTACTGTTAGCATTGACCTCCTGGGTCATGCCGTTTTCCCGCCTCGACCTCCCATGTAACTGAGACCACGGGCACACATCACCATGCCTGGCTAATTTTTCTATTTTTTGTAGAGATGGGTTTTCACCATGTTGCCCAGGGTGATCTCAAAGGCTGAAGCTGTCTGTCTGTCTGCCTCAGCCTCCCAGAGTGCTGGGATTACTGGCGTGGGACACCAGACATTTCTTTCTTTCTTTCTTTTTTTTTTTTTTTTTTGAGTTCGAGTTTTGCTCTTCTTGCCCAGGCTGGAGTACAATGGCGCAATCTCAGCTCACTGCAACCTCTGCCTCCCGGGTTCAAGTGATTCCCCTGCTTCAGCCTCCTAAGTAGCTGGGATTACAGGCATGCGATACTGTGCCCAGCTAATTTTGTATTTTCAGTAGAAATGGGGATTTACTATGTTGGTCAGGCTAGTCTCAAACTCCTGACCTCAGGGGATCCACCCCCCTCAGCCTCCCAAAGTGCTGGGATTACAGGTGTGAGCCACCACGCCCGGCCTCAGAAATTTATTTCTAACCCCAAGGACGCTCCACGTGATGTACGTTGTGTTGGCAGATTGTGACGGACGCTCCAGTCTTGCTTTCCCTGTCTTAGGTGGTGTTTCTGGAGGCCGGGATCTTGGGAGTTTATCCCCCTGTACCCACAAGGCCTCCCATGCTGCAGAGCCTGCGCTCACTCAGTGCTTGCTGCCCAGTGAAGATTCTGTGTGCCAGTCCAGGCAAAACCCTCCCCTCAGTTGCGGGACACTGGAAAAGATGCTAACCAGAAATGCGTATCTCCTCGGGATGTTTCTTTAGTAATATGCATCACCAAGAAAGCTCTAGAGAAACGGTAACACTAATCTCCCAGCCCTTTGTCTTGGTGACAAGATCCTGCCACAGGATTGCTTCCCTGTAATAAAGATATTTTACTCATGAAAAAGATAAAAGGAATTTAGGTAACATGGACATTTCCTCTTTCTCCCTTCCTCTTGAAAGGGAACCACTGTTTGGTGTTACTGAACGCTCGTGCTGAAATACTGGTAAGAGAAGGAAGAAAGAAACACTTAAGTTTAGGAATGCCGGCGGTGTAGCAGGAGATTGTAGGACAATGGCTTTTGGGCGCAGCGGTTCCTTGCCTTTTCCCTTTCTTTTTTTTCCTTAGTGGCTTTCAAATTAAATTTGGCTCTGTCTAAAGGCACAACACATACCTTTCTCATGTAGGATTTTAACTTGCTTTTATAACACACAAGCAAATCATACCCCGCTGTGTCACAGCTCTCCACCTCCTCACGTAAGTCTTGCCCCTAGTTGTTGTTTTTTTGTTGTTTTTTTTTTTCTTGAGACAAGAGTCTCACTCTGTGCCTACGCGATGATCTCGGCTCGTTGTAACCTCCACCTCCCAAGTACAAACAGTTCACCCTGCTTCAGCCTCCTGAGTAGCTGGGACTACAGGTACCTGCCACCGTGCCCAGCTAATTTTTGTATATTTTGTAGAAACTGGGTTGGCCAGGCTGGTCTCAAACTCGTAACCTCAGGTGATCCTCCCGCCTTGATTTCTCAAAGTGTTGGAATTAACAGGCATAAGCCTGGGCCTGGCCATGCCCCTATTTATTAAAGCAATGTGGGTGTTCACTGTGTACGTTTGGAAAAAGAAGAAAAATATAAAAAGAAAATGAAGATCCTCCACCATTCTATCCGTCCAGGTAAGACTGCTCTTAGCATGTTGGTGTAAAACTGGACAACTTTTTTCTAGTTACAAAAATAAATAATGCTTTGCACAGGGGCAGTATCATAGCCGATGAGGTTTATCCAAGGTGTGTGTGATTGTTGCTAATTGGAAACTTTCCCAGTACCCTGCCATGACAAATTGAAATGTAGTCAGCACTGGCAATTTTTGACAGTCTCTACAGAGACTGAACAGAAAAAAAAAAAAAAAAAAAAAGAGTGATCTAATACGTGGGGTACAGTGACTGACATCTGTAATCTCAACACTCTGGTAGGCTGAGGCAAGAGGATCGCTGAACTTAGAAGTTCAAGGCCAACCTGGGCAACCTAGCAAGACCCTATTTTTTTTTTAATTCAAAAAAAGAATTCTATATTAAACAATATAATGTATATACCACACGCACACATCCACGTGACAGTGTTGAGATCCTCTGGTCCATCAGGTCAGCCCAGTCAGTTCTCAGAAGTCTCTCCTGCCCCTGATACAAGTTTCACCTTTGCTCCTGGGAGCTTGGTGGCTCTTCAGGTGGCCCTCCCGGTCTTCTTTTTCTGGTCTTCCCTACACAGTACCTTCCTCAGTCTGATTGGTTTTGTTTCATTTTGTTTTTTGAAACAGGGTCTCTTTCTGTCAGCCAGGCTTGGAGTGCAATGGCACAATCTGGCTCACTGCAATCTCCGCTTCCTGGTTTCAAGCGATTCTCCCCGCTCAGCTTCCTGAGTAGCTGGGATTACAGGCACCCATACTCCTGCCTGGCTGATTTTCGTATTTTTGTAGAGATGGGTTTCACCATGTTGGCCAGGCTGGTCTTGAACTTCTGAACTCAGGTGATTCACCCATCTCAGCCTCCCAAAGTACTGAGAGGATTACGGGCTTAAGCCACCACATTTGGTCCTAAAATACGATTTTTAACATCTGCATTGTATTCCATTCTTCAAATAGATGTCCCATAATTTATTGTAAAGAGCTGGTCATGAATAATTCTTCTACATACATCCTTATGGATATCACTGATTTCCTTAGAACACATTTTAGGAATGGAATTACTAGGGTAAATGAGAGAACATTTTTACAGTTTTTATTTGTATTGCCAAGTGGGTTTTAAAAAATCATTCAGTTGAATTTATACTTCCAACCCTGCCAACAATGAATATTATCACTCCTACTACTAAAAACTAGAAGCAAGCAACGGTCAGTGTGATAGTTGGCTTTGTATTTTTTTTCTTTTTTTTTTTTTTGAGATGGACTCTCGCTCTGTCACCCAGGCTGGAGTGCAGTGGTGTGATCTCAGCTCGCTGCAGCTTCCGCCTCCCAGGTTCAAGCAGTTCTCTGCCTCAGCCTCCCGACTAGCTGGGATTACAGGTGTCCACCACCACACCTGGCTAATTCTTGTATTTTTAGCAGGACGGGGGTTCACCATCTTGGCCGGGCTCGTCTTGAATTCCTGACCTCGTGATCCACCCACCTCAGATTCTGAAAGTGCTAAGATTATATAGGTGTGAACCACCACACCCAGCTGGGCTTTGTATTCTTTTTTTTTTTTTTTTTTTTTTGAGACGGAGTTTCACTCTTGTTACCCAGGCTGGAGTGCAATGGCGTGATCTCGGCTCACCGCAACCTCCGCCTCCTGGGTTCAGGCAATTCTCCTGCCTCAACCTCCTGAGTAGCTGGGATTATAGGCACGCGCCACCATGCCCAGCTAATTTTTTGTATTTTTAGTAGAGACGGGGTTTCACCATGTTGACCAGGATGGTCTCGATCTCTCGACCTCGTGATCCACCCGCCTCGGCCTCCCAAAGTGCTGGGATTACAGGCTTGAGCCACCGCGCCCGGCCTTGGGCTTTGTATTCTTAACTGCAGCAATGGATGTGTGTGATAATAGAAAGTGGTAATGGTTCTCCAGTTTTAAGTACTAGAAAGCTCTCATTTTGGTGGTGAGTGGAGAGGCTCTTATTAAGTGCCTGACACTGGATCCACTTTCCTGTTATAATGGGCTTTTGGCCAGGCACGGTGGCTCATGCCTGTAATCCCAGTACTTTGGGCGGTCGAGGCAGGTGGATCTTGTGAGGCCGGGAGTTTGATACCAGCCTGGTCAACATGGCAAAACCCCATCTCTACTAAAAATAAAAAAATTAAGCCGGGCGCAGTGGCTCACACCTGTAATCCCAGCACTTTGGCAGGCTGAGAGGGGGTGGATCATTTGAAGTTGGGTGTTCAAGACCAGCCTGGCCAACATGATAAAACCGTGTCTCTACTAAATACATCTATTCTTAGTAGAAATCCGTCTCTACTAAGAATACAAAAATTAGCCAGGTGTGGTGGCACACACCTGTAGTCCCAGTTACTCAGGGGGCTGAGGCACGTGACTCACTTGAACCTAGGAAGCAGAGGTTGCAGTGAGCCAAGATTGAGCCACTGCAGTCCAGCCTGGGCAACAGAGCAAGACACTGTCCCCCCAAAAAGGGGGAGGGGGCTTTTGAGGAAATACCTTTACTCCCTGAGTAACTTACCTTTGTCAGTGAAACAGGCCCTAGGTGGGGTCTAGGAATCACTGGCTGCTTATGTGCTGTGGCGTCAGCCCCTGCACCCCTTTGGGAGCTGGGTCCCTCTGCAGTGAGCAGTCTTCACTTCTATCCCAGTGTACAGTACAGATATTAGCACTTTTTATGTGAAAAATAGTGGAGATCATAAATGTTGTTCACTTAATGCCTGTTGTGTCACACCAAGCAGTTTACCACTGAGATTATTTGCTGTTAGGTGGTTGTAGAGACCTAGGTGGGAACTCAAGTACAGTCAAGATTGATGATCTTTGTTACCTGGAACCCCAGTTTTGCCTGGCTTGATGGATGGGGCCCTGGGAGAAGGGCTCCGAGTTTTGGCATTCTGTGTGGGGGCTTCATTTAAACTGTTGCTGTCAGTGCCAAACCGTTTGTGGATGTAAATAGAAGGGGAAAAACCAACAAGGAAACTGAATGTTTTATGGCATTTAACAGTGCTCTCTTTTAGAGCTATTTTTAATAGGGTCACTATGAAATTCAAAGTTAGCAAAAAAAGTGCCACATCCATTATCATAGTACCATTATCATAGCTTCTCCTTATTTTGGACTTAAAATTTACTTGCCAGAAATTCATAGCTCTTGAATTAAAGCCACATTTATCATGCATTTTTAAATATCTGTTAGGTGTTACTCGTTTTAGATTTCTTGTTGTCAATGGAGATGGAGTCTTGCTGTGTTTCATGGGCTAGTCTCAAACTCCTGGCCTCAAGTGATCCTTCCGCCTTGGCCTTCCAAAGTGTTGGAATCACAGCTGTGAGCCACTGTGCTTGGCGCCATCTTAGATTTAGATACTTTTTAAATAGTGTATTTAGAAGGGAGATTTTTTTTTTTCAGTTTTATCTTTACAATTTTTAATCTTTTATAATTGACTTATTAGTGGAGGCCTTTTTTTTTTCCTAAGAGTTCTCGATGCCTTTCCTGTATTGTGGGAAACGGCAGGAAATTCTTCTCCGCTCTGTGCCCCCCCCCAGCAACAAGCCTAGCTGTGCAGGCCCTGAGCGCTCGGCAGCGGCCCCAGGTGTCAGAAGCAGACAGAAGCACTAAATCAAGCTGCTGGTAGCCGACCCCACCGTAGAGGCCTAAGCCCCAGAGGTAGAATAAGGATGCTGGAGATGAACAGGCTGTGATGGTACAGCAGTCCTCAGTGTCCTCAGGAACAGGTACCTTCTCTCTCTCTCTCTCTGCCACCCTTAGCAAGTGACTCTGTCTTGGCCTGACCAGACAGCACCTCTGCAGTCAGTGTTCCGGTCTGAGCCAGGGAAGGATGCTGGCTCTGGCTCTTTGTCAGGGAGCTTCCCCCCCCGCCTCCCAGCCAGGTCCCAGTCACTTGGTCACAGGGGTTTAAGCAGCCTTGGAAATGTGTACTTCAGCTGGGCGCATGGCCACCCCAAATACGATTGGGCTCTGTTGGTAAAGAAGAAGGGGGCAAGTTGGACTTTGGTTGGAAAGCCATAGGATAGCTATATGTCTCCTTGGCTGTGTCACCAGGGCATACCACACGCCTTCTGAGGCTCCAGGTTCCTCATCCGCACACTTGGGGTGACAGTTGCTCCAACCTTATGAGTTGTCCCTCTGACCAGAAAAAAGGTAAGGTACCTGGCCTGTGGTTGGTGTGCAGAGGCGGCAGTCTGACCACAATGCCGTGTGTCATTAGTGCTCCGAAACTTGTGAAGTTGCTGGAGAGCTGGGCTTCCTGGTGCGGTGACGTGTTTCACTTAATAATAAGATTGTTGTCCTGCCAGCCTGGGTGTGACTGGGCCCCTGTTCCACAGAAATCACATGGAGAAGATTTGCTTAAACTTGCGGAATGTGTGTGTCCTTGTGGTTTTGCTATATATTTGGGTGATTATGACATTAGAGGAATTATTAATCATGGAATAGAAATAAAGGTTGTTTTGTACAAAAGTCAATGATTAACAGGGACAAATTTCTCCAGCCAAGAAGTACACATTCAGTGTAAATTGGAAGCAACTTCATTTGGCTCATCAAAGCTTTTAGTCAGCAGAGAGCTGTGGTAAAGCTAGTGGCATTTGGCATCCAGGAGGCCCAAGAATGTGGCCAAGTGTAGTGGAACAAATTGTACTGTGTGCCGGCTGTCAACCTTGGAGACACTTAGAAGAGCCCTCGGCGATGCTGTGTGTGTCTCTGCCACCTTCTCTTTCTTCTCCACAACAAATGGCTTCATTCAACTCTGCTGCTTTGGTGTTGCCACTATTTCTCTGGCGTTTTAGGCTGGAAATGTCAGTGAGAAGCCCCCCTCTGTGGCTGGGTATCTCTGCGCTGGACTCGGTGTGTTTGTTTCCAGTCCTTCCCGTGCACATCTACCTCTCTGTCCGAGGTCACAGTAGAAAGGGAAGAAAGGGAAATCAAGTCAGCAGGGACTCAGCAGACCCCTCCTTTCAGGACTGCCTTGGGAGTTTCCAAACTGTTTCCTCTACAACAGGAAGGTGTGTTCTCTCTCTCTCTTCCCCCCCATCCTCCCGTTTCTCTTTCTCAACGAGTCGTTCCTAACAAACACAAGGTTCCTAGCTCACATTATCTTTGACCCTAGGCTCCCCTTTGACTTTCTGTTAATGAGTACTTTCTCCAGTGGCCTGCTATTTTTTTTTTTTTCTCTTAAGTGTCTACTGCT